GTGGTTTATCAATGCATTCCGATTTTGAACAAATGTTATCGAAATTATGCTTCCGTTGTGCTAGAAAAAATGTGAATATTACAAACAAAACAATGCGATGAATTCATCTATGATTTCACTATCAGTTTATCAGACTTATTTACACCTGATGATTTCGTCCTAGTTTTCTTAGAACTATGTCGTTTGTACGGATGTTATCTATCAATAGCGACATATTTTATTGCTCGTTTAGGTCTATCACCCTGTCGTTAGTTGGCGATTTCATTAAACAGATAATCTCCGAAACTACTGGGCTGTGCGTTGTATCGTTAATGATTTTAAAAGTTCCTATTTTTTTACCTGCGTGTATAAACCGTAAAAACATATCATAGTTCTAAGAATTCCGCTATTTGTGGTTGAGTCATTTATAACAGTTTTCGTTTATCAGTGCGACAACTGTTGTAATAATCTTTATCTTCCTCACGTTGGTAAACACGTCATAATCTCTCTTTTTGCCGTAACTTTGATTAGGGCTGGTGCATAAAGGCCTGCGTTGTCACGCTATTATTCACAAAAAGGGACTTCTCAATTGCCCTTTCCAATTTCCGTGTCTCGTAAAAACTGCATTCATGCATGACACTGCCACGGACCAGCAGCTGTGTAATTTATTATTTTAAGCCACAATGTACTTCGCAGTTGAGATTTTGTGCTATATTGAATTGGACACGTTATAGATGGCTGTTTTTTAAAGTTTGAAGAAACTTTTCCGGGTGAAAGTCGAATATACGTGGCCCAAACCGAATATTGATTTCAAATAAACATGTAAAGTGGAAATGGGGAGGTGACGAGAACAAAGAATTCGGGAAAACCTGATAGGTTAATAACGAGAGTGATGGGATGGTTAAGTGTTAATAAGTCTTTGGGTTATTTATCGACTCAATTTTCAATGGAAATGCATACTGAACGGTAATTATAGTAGAATGGGATACAAATTCTTTGACTATTGTTGCGCCCTGGTGCGACCCCTATGATAGTAAATATGATGTAATAGAAGCTCTGCGGGAGATGGATAACGTTTTATCTGCACGACGGAGATAAACAGATGTCGATTTTGGTTATTGCTTTTAATATAACGTTATAGAGTTTTTCTTGGGGTTATTGCGAAACCCTGCAAAATTTACTTTCCCGACATCATTGAGAAAAAATGCACTCATTTCGGTCGTTATTTTAAAGAAAAAAATCAGCTCTTGAACCGTCTGGAGAAGTGCCTGAATTTTTATGTTAAAGTCACGAATGGAATTTCACCATATATCTCGATTTATTTAAACAAAGACCGCATTCCAAGAGCAACTTTGTAGTTTTTAGGTGATGACGTGACAGGTATGACGCTATCAGCACTTGTTTATTTGATATATTGGACATGGTTTTTCTTTATCGAAATCGCTAGTTGGAAATAAATATGAAAATAATACATAGTTTCTTTTTTTTTAATGTTTTATTTATTATTTTCAAATGCACTGTATATTTTGCTGTACTAGATGTTACATTTTCAAAACATATTTAATCTTCAAAAATCGTTATTTTGAAGGATGTATTCACATTAGTATCATGTCTTTTGCTTGAGCACGCGGTCGAGTTTTTCTCATGGATTAAATTTATTATACTCAATTGTTGGGGAATCCTTGGGGAACGATTTGACGTTTTATTTGATCGGTGGATTTCGGATTAGCAAGATAAAAATATATTGGGTTATCGGTCCATTTTCAAAGGTATCATGGAATTCCATTTTATTTTAGATTTATCTATTGATCTTACGTTTGAGATCTTCTTAACTTTTTTTATTACTGATTTTATTTTTAAATAATAATAACTATTATTATTTATTAATGCTACATCAAATTAAACGCATCCGTAAGAAGGGAAAAAACAAAATGCAGAAAAAGGTGTTTACTTAGAAGAATCCATAAATGAAATGAATTCCTAATGTGTAATAGTTATTTATTTACGGTAGGTTACATTTTACAACACGAAGATTTAATATTGAAACACGAGGCGAAGCCGAGTGTTTTAATAAATCTGAGCGTTGTAAAATGTAACCTACCGTATGTATAGTGTATGCAACTTTTTGGCCGATGACTTAGTGGTGCTTGTTTTGGTAAATTTTTACATTTTTTTAAATTGTCAGGAATTTGTAAGTAGGCTTTGCCTGCGTCAAACGTCAGATAAAATGAAAATCGTGACAGATAGTTCGATACGACTGCTGCTTATGCCACCAGATGGCGCTCTCCAAACTCAATAAAAAAAATCAATTGCTATTATTTTAAAACATTTAACAGATGCATTTATGCGGTATCTTATTTTGGTGAACACAAGCTTTGTTAATGATGACGTGTTAATTTTTGTAAGGGGTTTAGAACTATGAAAATTTCTGTGTTTATTACCGCACTTAATTTGGTAAATGACAGTTCAATGTGTAAAAATCAAAATACCATGGGTATCTACGATACGTAAATGTCAGTTTTACAGTTGTCGAGGCCAAAAAAGGCATTTTCAATAAAAATTTGTTCAAACTTTTTGTGAAATACCGAAAAATTCAGTGTTTTTTTTATTATTATATATTATATTATAATTTCTTATTATTGTAGACTGAAAGAAGTCATGTTGGTGTTAGAATTTTTGTACACGCAAGCTACTGTAAAACTACACATTGTGAAGTGGCTGCTGAAGAAACACTGAAATATTATTAAGCAATCTGATAAAAAGTAACAAATGTATTATTAACCGGGGATTTTAATGGCCACTTTGAGACTTTTCAAAATAAAGCTTGAGTTTAACATATTTGGAGTCTTTGTATGAGTTTTATACCACAAGCAAGTGGAACATCAGAGATTGACACAAAACGGTTTAGAGCAATAACTATAATGGGTTTTTATACAATTTACAGTCTAGTAGTGTTTTTATTTATTTTTTTTTTTTTAAGTTTGATATTTCTAAACATGATATTAGATGCTATGAACCAGTTTTTCCCTTTGTTCAAAAAAACTCATTTTCCAGATCAAGAAAGGCAGGAATAAACAATAACTGGTTTACCCATAATGCAGTAAAGATGCATTATTTTTCACTATGCGATACGCACTTACATTATGATCCGATTTCTTTTCTTGGGCTAAGACTAGACAATCATTTGACTTGCGATTCGCATAGGTACATAGAGTACCTATTGTATAAATTGCCCAATAAACTATTTTTTTTACGTAGGCTTAATGAAATTCTTTCTACAAGAAGGCTTATAAATGGCTTACTATGCAGCAGTACATAGCATCATCTCGCATGGGATAATTTGTCTGGGACACTCCAGTCACTTAAAAAAAAAAAATACTATTTAACGTAAATAATAATAAGCAAAAGTAGAATTAGCACATTTTGCTAATGTGTTAAGTTTTACAATGTCTTATCATGATATGTACAACAGAGTAGTTTTAAATTCTATGAAAAGATAATTGAAAGGTATTTTATTGAAAATGTTTTCTACAACTTAGATGCATTTTTTGAATATTGCTCGGTGATTAATAGTTTATAATTCTATAATTATGTTTTTATTTTACTTTACTTTTTAGACAAGTGAGAATTCCTTTGTAAATTTAGGCATAATAACGGATATTCTATTTAATTCTATTCTAATATCAACTTTCGCAATCATCGGCTAGCGCTGCACAAAACTGTTTAAATCTTGTTTAAATTCTTAAAATACTTGCCTCTGCCGCAATGATTTTCGCCTTAGTTGTGGAAGTTAACAATTCATTTACAATCGACTTGAACTTTGTTGGAATCATCTTTGCTGTAACTATAGTCCTTGTGAACTTGCGAAGGAAATGTTTTATTCCAATTTTTTTCTTAATTCACCAATAATTACAAAATTATGCTAAAATTATTCGATAACTGTCTCAAATCTAGATTATATAGTTAACTTAGCACATTTTTAGGTGGGGACAGATTCCCGAAGCGTCAACAAATTTCCCAAGACTTCATTTTACTAATAACCTTTAATTGCGTTAGTTAATTGAGAACATCTTTAAACTAATGTGAGGTAATTGTTGCTTATCAACTTATTATTAAGTTCAGGGACAGTAATAGAACAAAGAATTGTATGCATCAGTGAACGTTTAATATTTATTATTTCATTAACAGAGAAATGTTTTTATATGTTCGAGTGCCAACTAAAAAAAATATAATTAATTTAGTATTGCAAGAAATAAGCTACTTTAGGTTGACCGTTGCTAAAAAAATTAGGCCGAGGAATGATACATCAGCAGTAATATAAATAATTTAAGATGTGTCATCATCGATGATTGGACCACATCGAGAGAAAGAATTTACTCCGTATTCAAAACGTGTACGATTTTTGTTGCAAGTTTCGTCTCTAGCGTAGTAAGTTGCAAGTTTGTTCCTACATAATCGAATAAATCCCATTTGTGCCCGACTGCTTTAGCACCTCTTATCGCACTTATCAAGATAACATTGTAAATACCATGTTTGTGCTAGAAATAGTTATTTCCCAACACCTGCCACGATAAGAACCTGATGTGACAACCAGGATATGGTATGAAGGGATATAAGGCGATAAGAAAACATCCACATTTCCACGTAACCGTGCGCAGCTAGCATTATGTACCACGGAAATCTACAACTTTGTGCAAAATAAAAACTCTGATTTTTGGAATCAATTTCACAACTTCAAAACATATTCATGCAATGTGTGTGTACAGGAACATACATACATGCATGATGTTCCTCTTGTAGGTAGAGGTAGACAAACGTATAATCGGTAAAATATGTCGCACTTGACGGATTTTGCAGGTAAGCAGTGCTGAGTCACCCAGCTAGCTCGCTAGGTGCTGGCGATCCTCCAGCGGGAAACGGACCCGGCATAGGTAGAATTCTGAGCACTTCGCCGACGTGCCGAAAGATATCGTAAATGCTCGTCCGGTAAGCGCACCGTACAGTCGTGCAATGTTGTAGCTCAGTCGTGAACAGACTTTCGGCGGTGCGTTGTTGTGTTATGTAGAATTTTGTTCCTAGATGTGGCATACGATCGTCGAATTTTTCTATGGTGCTGTTTGTGTGTTCTCGCTATAAACGTGCGACCCAGTGACGGAAGTGCTTACCATGTGAATTGTTGATTGAGTTTTTTTTGTACCATGGTTGACAACAGTTGCATTATAGAGGGAACCGTCAAGTTTAGGGATGGAAAAAAGGTACGAAACTCGTAACATTGAATAATTCGTTTGAAATCGGCGACGACACTGCTGATAAAACTCGCAAAACTTCGAACAAGTTTGAGATTGATATGTTGGGATACATTTTTTACAAGTCACTTGCGCAACTAATCGAGGTATACATTATAAAACAAATTCTCAAGAGGTGTCGAGTTGGATAATGGCCACTGAAATATACAAACGTAAATGTCTTCCTTGATGGGGAGTTTACCATATTTTATTCAGGCGTTCTAACGTGCAAATTCCAACCAGTTTTACCGAACAAAGGCTAAAATCCAAGGCTACTTGTGAAATTGTAGTTTTTGTTGCTTGCACCATTTTTATTGTGCATAGATAATTAACATTTTGACGGTATTATTGGTATTACCTACTCACATATGTGGGTGCACAGTACTTGATAATCTTATCAGATTATAGGACTACGGAGTCATATACGTTGCATGACAACGTGCTGCTTGCAACCTTTGCCCGTAAATCATGCTAGTTCAAGATTTTGTTTAGTTAAACAAGCTTGACTTTTAGCAAATATTGGTGTCAAGTGATGCAAAAACGGTGATGACATCATTATTGTCACTGAGACTTGAGCAAAAAACGTTCACTGTGCCAAGCAAACACGTTGAGAAGGAAAAAATTCATTCTAGTGCAATCTATTGTTTGTTGAAAGTATCAAAGCTATCGACACACTATTCCAGCTGATTATATTTGCCCATCATTTTCGGATTTTTTCTTAAAAATCACGTTATATGTTAAAGCATGTGCAATATTGGGAAATAAATATACATTTCATTTAAATCTAAACCTTATAGGCAGGGAAGGGTAGCGTACCCCCCATAATTCAGAATTTATCAAAAGTTGGCAAAATGATGAAAAGTTGGTAAATCATCCGATTGTTTACATTAAAAAAATAACTCAAACGGAAAAAACAGCATGTGGAAATTTTTTGGCACGAAGAATACAGCCTGATCAATAAATACTGTTTGAGTTTTTTTAATTATCGTTTTCAAATATTATTGTATATACTTATTATAAATTTCTTTAATGAATAATGCTATCAATTCAGTGCTGACAACTATAACAATATAAATATAAAACCGTATCATAAAACATATCAACAAAATCATTTGTTCTAATCTGTATTCAATATTTTGAGGTTATGATACCATGTTGTGATCCAAGTAGTTTAAATTTAATTCCAAAGAGGGCGCTTCAGCAATTTTTAAAATTTTCCAGATTTTTAACAAGGCTTTGACTCTACTAAATAACACATACCGTTTAAAAAAAATAACTCATTTAATAAAAAACGATTTTCTCACATCACTACGTTGTCAATTTTGATAACAGGAAGTAAAGCGGGGTTACAGATCCACCGACTTAAAGCAAAATTTATTGATACTAACTTAAACAGTATAAAATATTGATGCTAAAGTACAAGAGACAAATGGCCAAATTCAAACTAGTAAGAGTTTTTGTATTAATTTAAACGCAAACGAACCTAAAACGTCTTAACTCTAAACATAAACTTAGGTAAAATTAAATTACAAAAAGTGTTACAGAGCTCATTTTACGTTCGAGTTAGACAATTTTACGTTATGAATTACAAAACAACAGTTTAACTGTCAACGACTGAGTGGAAAAAGCTGATTGATTCGATAGACAGCCCAGAACTTTACTAAATAATTAGTAATTCGTTAAGGCGAGATGTTATATCTAATCTACATTGTGTATGTTACTTGTGTCATTCTGTTTTGACATTTAAATGTACATAAAATTGCAGTTGGTGGCTGATTTTGCAGTGCCTTCAGACCTTAGAACCCATATTTTCCCTTTTTAAAATATCTTTAAACTTTAAATCTTAATTCTAACTGTACGTACAGAAAGACATAATGAGGCATACTGCAGTGAGAATTGGTAATACTGTATGACTGCTACACAGGAAAGTCATGGAGAGACATAATAACTGTAGTAGTTAAACTTTGCACTTCTTTTCTGCCAGTTTGTAGTAACTGTAGATTTTTCGGTTGTCATGAATGAGAAGGTTTAGTTCACTAAAGTTTATAAAGAATCACATAGTTCCATCCTAAACTGGACGGTAATCGTTTAAACTATCTAATATTGTTATCTGTCAAAAAACTGGACAACATTAATTCTTGAGTTATACTAAACCAACAATGCGTCAATACCTATTTTAAAACATAATATTTGCGACAGAGTTAATTAAGTAATTAATGTCGATATTGGAAACATCTTTACCAAATCTATGTTTACCGTATTAATTGGCATTTTTTTGTGCAAAGTTTCAATTTTCAATTTTAGTTTCTAATTAGCTTCTTTTTAAATTTCTTGATTTGTTCATGGTGCTGTATTTTTTATTTTAGTTTTGGATGGTACTCTTAAGGACTCTTTAACAAATCCCACATGATATCTGTACCTTCAATAGTGTTTGAAATGCGCTTTCTATCTAACCAAAAAACGTGTAAAAATTTCTTAAAATAACAACAAATTTGAAAATTCTTTACATTTTGGTTTCATCAGGAAATATGTAATCAATAATAATCAGCAACTTTCAACTCGTTTCTAACTTTTTTTGAACTTGTGAAAAGTATTGGATTACAGCGTAGCAAATGTAATAATCTCTCTTGAAAATAGGGATAAATGTCGGTCTTTGAAAAGGTCTTTAAAGACACTATTTACAAACAACATAAAACATAGCACACTATTGAAAAAAATATATATGACGTAATAGCTCTAGCTCGACAGGGCATGACGTCACATGTATAGCAACCTAAAAAGAGCGTAATTAGAAATGCTATACTTTTGTACTATTATATTTGGCCTTTTTTTCATAATATACGTAGCCATCTTTTCACAACAAGAAACTTAAAACATGGTTGCAAGGAAATATGGGTTTCGGAATTATGAGGCCAAGTCTAATTGCAAAATCGATATTTCCTTAGACAAATTTTCCATTTTAAACATGTTTTAAGTTTCATGTTGTGAAAAGAAGTCTACACATATTAAGAAAAAAAAGGCAAAATATAAACCCCGCCCACCCACCCCATCTCAATTGTGATGATTTTTTTATTCTTATGTTCTACATAATGTTAGTGAGTAAAAAACGGTTTGTTTTAGTTGTTTTAAAACTTTTAAAATTGGATTTTTTGTTTTAAAATACGATGAAAACACATGCCGAAAAAATGAAAAATCGAAACATGGAAAAACTGGAAAATCTGAAAATCGAAAAATTGAAACATCGAGAAGCCGAAACATAAAACGATCGAAAAATAGAAAAAATCAGGAAATTGAAAATCCCAGAAACGAATTTCAGATATTGAAAAATTTTAATTCTAAAAAAAAACAAAAAATCGAAAATTTGAAAAATTGGGAAATTTAACAATCGAATTCCAGAAATAGAAAAATTGAAAAATCTAAAATTCAAAAATTGAAAAAGTGAAAAACCGAAAAATGTGAAACCTGGAAATCGAAACATTGGAAAATAGTAGAGATGTACCGACTGTAGGTCTGGCCGACTAACCGACTAGCCGATTGTTCGGCCAGTAAAAACCGACTAGTCGGCCGACTGTTCGGCTTTGCTAAAACCGGTTTATAAATGCGACAGACAGTGTTTTTTTTTCTATTTCTCTAACTACCTTAAAAATTTGTTTTATTTTAATAAAAGGAATAACTAAAATTCGTTTGTTTTCCAAAAAATTTGTTAAATTTGTTTGGATAATTTTAATATTTAATTTTTTTTGGTAACTCAGTACAAAAATAAAGAATAACAAAATTTAGGGCCAGATTATATAATATTTTAACTGAGATTAAGTTGATCGTGCATTTAACAAGGCCATTAGCGACGTCTGATCGGCGTAGAGTCGGTCACATGGTACTTTAACGCTGAGTTAAAAATTAAATCGCAATTAAATATTTAATTGAGATTCTGTAAACCGGGTTTAATTGTTTTATATACTATTTTAATTTTAATAAAAAAAACCGACCGATCGGCTGTTTAGCCGACCAGTCGCCGACTGCGGCCGACGATGGAAAACGGCCGAATAGTCGGCTTATCCGACCGGTCGGCCACTAGTCGGTATATCCCTAGAAAATAGAAAAATTAAGGAACCAAAAAATTGAAGAACCCAAAAACACTGAAATCGAAACATCAAAAATGCGAAAAATTGAAAATTTAAAATCGAAAGATCTAAAATTTGAAAAATCGAAAATAAAAAACCAAGAAATTCAAAAATCCCAAAACAGAAATATTGAAAAATTAATAAACTGATAAACCGAAAATGGAAAAAATTTAAAAATCGACGAAAAATTGAAAAATCAAAATATTCGAAAATCTCAAAGTTGAAGCATCGAAAAATCGAACAATGGAAACCTGAAAAGTCGAAAAATCGAACATTAAAACAACCGAAAAATTGAAAAATAAAAAATCCGAAAAATCGAAAAAGTGAAGATTCGAAAAAATAAAAAATCAAAAAATCGGGAAATGAAGACGCCGAGAAACCAAAACATCAAAAAGTCGAGAAATCCAGAAATAGGAATATCAAAAAATCGAAAAGTCAAGAAACCGAAAAGTCGAAAAATCGAGAAATAGAAAATTTAGAAACGCCAAAAATAAAATTGAAAAATGCAAGAATCAAAATTATCAAGTCGTAAAACTGAAATACCGGAAAATTCAGAAATCGAAAATCTCTTTTGGTTTTCTTTTTTAATTAACACAATTAGTTTTCTTTGTATAACACGATTACTTAAGAACATATTTCTCGTGGAAAAATAAAGATTTTATAATTAAGCTCCGCCCCTCGGCTTACGACAAATAAAAAAAATCATCACAATTGAGGAAGGGCGGGTGGGCGGGGCTTATATTTTGCCTTTTTTTTTCTTAACATACATAGCCATCTTTTCACAACAAGAAACTTAAAACATGGTTAAAATGGTAATTTTTGCAAGGAAAGATGGATTTTGCAATGATG